CAGCAACCAAAACCGGCGCACGAATATGCATGGTTAATGGTTGTACAAACTGAAACTGAAACAGAAAAGTATGCCAGGGATGATATACATTTATTGTTACCTACAGTTAACTGCAGCGTGTTTCTTACATATCTAAACGAACATTTGTATTTGTACTCCGTTTGTTGTTCTTTTTCTTTCGTGAAATACCTATCCCCTTATTTATGAGAGGGGGGGAGTGATATAGCCTACAAGTCACTGATACCTTTGTCATGCACGCATTTAGTCAGATTGATTGATTGACAGATGCTGCCTGCTGCTACGCCCGCACTCACGCCATATCGATTGGCTAAAGCCAACCCGATTGATTAGTTGACTGTTTGAATGCCTGCTTAATCGCATTCGGGTGACGCTTGAGCCAGATGTTAACCTGCCTACCCACCTTCCTTCCTATGTGTTGCCCGCCCCCGGTTGCTCACCAGCCTACTGACCGGCTACATGTGTGCCCTCTACGATAAAGTTACTACCTATTTTACTATCTTGTCGGAGAACTCACCAACGCCAACATCCGCATCCCGAGCTACAATCATTCCACATAATTTCTAATTCACTATGTGCTTATTCACCTGCTTAAATGGTATACAACAACATATCCGGTCATTCTGGGGCGGATGAATCCTTTGTAAACTGCAAAAACCACCGTATAATTTACGATGGTCACCTAAATGTCTCACATGCTTATTAGTAAATAACCATCGATTTCTGTCGGCAATCGATGCGTAGCCTAATAAGATAAAAATATCACATTTTGTTTATGCTCCAAACAATCGATTATAGTAGGTCTTACGAATGTCCTAGATTATCTTCTGATGCTTTACTTTTTTTATCTTTTGTGTTCAGGAAAAAGTTTCGGTTATTCGAAACATTCAACCCACACGAGATTTGCTGGTGGATCTTCTGGGTGACTCCAATCTGTCCGAACCCATACTGCGCAAAGTAACTCAGTTCCGTGATCTATTGGAGAAAATGTTGGTTCTTGATCCCACGCGGCGTTTGTCATTGAATGAAGCACTCCAGCATCCGTTTATCACAGAACGCATGTCTGCAACATCAGAGAACGATGTTCAGGTCTCCTGAGGACGTGTAATTTTCCTTCTTCTCAGCTCTCAGCTTCAGAATTTTTCCTGAAATTTGGGTTTTGATTGTACAACTTGTATAAAATTTTACTTGTCTGTTTGATTAACTTTATTTTGTGTTCTATTTCAGTACCTCTGTGTCAGCCCAGTTTGTTGAATACAGAAAAGTACGGTAGACCTACTGCAACGTTTCAACAATTCCACTTACTTAGTTGATTAATCAAATATGTGGTGTCCGGTTCGTCATTGTCCCGTACTTGACTGTTCGGTGGAATTGTGGGTTCAAGGTATTTGAATGTTCCTACCTGTTCGACTGGTCCCGCACTGATGTGTAGTTGATGCTTTAGAA